ATTAACTTAAAAATAAAATGTGTTAATTATGTAACTGTTGGAGGGATTGATATATGAATATGAATTGTAACTAGCATTATCTACATATATAAAACTGAGTGTATACGGGTACTTATTAATAATTTAATAAAATTAAAAATTTTGATGTATGGAACAGTTCTCTAGTCCTCTTTGGAATAGTTGACCTTAAGTTAGGACATAAGTTAACTTTTATTGTGATAAAGGTGTTGGAATAAGGAATTGCAGTTTCTACGGAAGTTTGTCATTGCCAAAGATAAAATCATCAAACTTTACTTTCAAGTATTAACACCCACATTTTATTATAAATACCTACATATTTGTTTTAGTCTGCTGTCTCTAAGTAACTCTAAAACGCGGGCGAAGTCACGGACGAAACCTACTTAAATAACTGTGTAACTTTAAATTAACACTTACTAAGAAATGTATAATTATATGTAATTTTTTTTAACAAACTTGCATGTTACTATTACATACCTCAATGCTACCATATACTAATGAACCCGAGTCCTTGCACGCGGACGTGTTCCACTTCAAATGCCACAATGAAGGAATGTGTACACAATATTTTTTTTATTTAATATTTGCAATTTAATGTTTTCTTTTAAGCAGTAATGACACAATTTTGAGTAGTAATGACATTTATTATAAAAGGTTGTTATTATCCAAAATATAAATAAATTTTAAAAGCCTTAACACAATCTAATTAAACAACAAATCCTCTCCCCAATAGTCAAGGTCAATTTAACTTTATTGTTTATATGTGAAGTGCCTTACATGCATTTCTCGAATAAAATGGTGAGCTAAGACTTCCATTACCTTAGAAAATGCACTGTGCTCTGTAAAAGCGGTGACACTCAGCAATGCTGATAGAGAAAACTGATTTTGTTTCACACCGCTTGACAGCTTTTTGGGGGGAAATGAAAAACTCTTTGTGTATAAAAACACGCAAAAAATTGTATTTCTGTACATCAGAGTTAACTAGTCGAATGTTTATTTTTGATTCTTTACAGGAGAAGGAATTAAATTTTTTAAGCGTTCATTACCAAATTATACCATTAAATTTACGAAAAATCTTTAGATGTTTAATATTGGTTGTTTTTTGGTTATACTAGTATAGTTATTCCAAAAACAACAATGCAATTAAATAATCATTCTGAAAAAGGAGTAACATCCGACCTAAATAATGTAGGCACTTTCTTATGACATGGTCTGATAATAATATCCGCTGTTTTGTCAAAAATCCAGAAAGTAATATGCGGAAATGAAATATTTTGGTCCGGGGATATTCACAGTGCATAGTAACTCTCATTTGAATGCAACTAATTCTTCATCGCGACACTATAGGCCCAAATCCATCTCAAAAATGGTTTTTCAAAAGTTAATCGTTATATTAAATATTAAAAATTTTGTTCCAGGCAATGATTAATCTAAAATATTGGACTTCGATATACTCTACATAACGTACTCCTTATAAATGTTTACCTTATAGTTAGATTTAATTTGTAGAATTAAGTATATAAAGAATATATATAGGTATAAGTATATGTATATAGGTATTTATATATATATTTATTTAATATTTTGAAGTGACATGTTTTTTATTTTTAACTGGAGGTTTCATTGTTACTAACAGCTGTCAATATTTAACTAATTATTGCTGTAGTTCTATGAACTATTACATACGTAACTAAAATAATGGTTCATTAGTGAAATTTCTTATTAGTCTTTCAGTGTTCGTAACCCTTAAAGATGAAATATACGTTTTTAGTTCAAAAACTAGTGTTTGAGGTGAAGAATTTAGCAATAAGTCTAATAAAAAGATGCACTAGTTTTAATTATCGGGGTAACTATCTTTGCAGTATTATATATATTTTATTACTAAGTTAAGTAATACCAAGTAACAAAATCATAGTTAATATTAATCGTAAAAAAAATTATTTACCTTATCATCTATGAAATGATTTAATATGTATTTTTTGAAGTGATAGCGCTTTTCTGTTTCTAAAAGCATACATATTCAAAAATACATACCTATGCACAGTTTAACTACAAAATATCAAGAAACAAAAAACATTGATTTTGAGACCCAAAAAGTCGGATTTTAACTTCCGACACACTGCTCTAAGAAAATTTTAGAGAAGAAATAAACATATAAGATATGGACATCAGATCTACTGTGAAAGGTTATTTTAAGATTACAATATTACAAAAAGTCGTAAGTAAACATCGGTTGTTTTTGTTCTAACTTGTGTTTTTTAGTAAACATAACTTTGTAAATAAAAGAGATAATCAAATATTGGTTAGATAACTCGAAAGAGGACGAAAAACTGAACTAACTACTATTCTACTATTTTCGGTGGAACATGAACTATATAAAAAATCAAATCCTTTTATTTACTTTGAAGAATGAGATGCGGAAGTCCGCAGACGGCCGACCTTCTGTTTCTCTTGCATTTGACTTGCATTTGTTGACACGACCACAATTCTCGGAATGTATTCCTGAAAAAGGTATATTATGGTAGCATCGCTCGATATATTATTCGATTTATTCCGGAAAGCTGCAGTGTTCGTGGCAGTGATGAGTGATTGATATCAGCACATTTAAATGTGATTATTATGAATTCTCATCGTCAGCATCAGGCTGTTAACGTCTCCTTCTGAGGCACAGGTTTCCCCTATAACCATGATCACATAGGTACAACGGGCCATAGTCCATAAGGTAGTTAGTTAGTCCAGTGTGGATTAATGGCTGTAGCTGCAGTTAGGTCGAAAAAAAGCTGCTCAATCTCCACAATTGTAGACGAACCGCGTATACAATCAAATTAAAGACTTGTTACCCTCTATTCCGCATTGGGGCAGCGTGAAGGGTCATGGCCAATCCTCCTGAACTATCCATAAGGAAGGCCTGAGCCCCTGCATTGGGGATGTAAATGCTGATGATGTTATAATAATAAATAAATATAAGATGTAAGTTGATCTCATATGTACAGAGTTTAATTATAGAATTGTTTTAAATTATAATGATTTCAAAAAAGAAAATCCTGTAGAAAATTACTTTCGAACGATGCTTTTACATCGCCCATCGGTCCCTCGAGTGCATCGTCCCGGAGGAAATGCACTAGATTTTATTATCAGAATAGAAAATTTGAGTCTTCACTCCGTCCCGTAACACCACCCTCCTGGGAAATGCAATCGTCATTGCATATTATGTATAAAGGAAACCTAATAGGAATTTCAATAAAGAAATTTGTGAACGATTCGAAATATAAAAATGCTCCATTTTCAGTATCGGCTTTTAAATTTCAATATCTATTTGGAATGTGATATTTTTGGGAATTTGAGTAACTACGTTTTCATTTTTACGTATCACGGAGCTTATATTTTTTTATATATGTAGTAGCAATTAAAGCACCATTCAAACTGTACGTGTAATATTTGACTAGTTGTAATATTAGTCTAAACTAAAAGAGCAACAAAACAACATTACAATTCCATGATTCATTTTAATGAATAATATTACAATATATTGTTTTATATTCTAATATAACTAAAACAAACAATAGCGATTTAGCTGTACTTAATAAAATTTTAAAAACGTCAACAGTTTTAATTGGTTTCATATAATAATTCATTGACAATTCAATATATTTTTTAGCTTAATGGAATTTCAGCCCCATTCAGTCATGTATACAATTTGCTTATTCACACAATTTTGTGTGTGGGTTTTCAAAATATCCACGTCAGGCCAGATGACAGCGAGAGCGAGAGTGGCGCGCGGCGGGGCGTAACAATGGGCTATGTAACTACTGCTCATAGATAAGCTGTTCAGAAGAGCCGTTCTGTAATAAAATCAGCTTTGAAGTCTACGGGTTCTATCAAATAAAACCAACTTCAAAAGGTAATAATGGTTATCTTTCATTGAACCTCTCTGCTATAACAGAGCTGTGCTCGACATTGACTTCAAGGTTGATTTGTTAAAGAATAGTACAGCAGGATTCAAACCGCTGCGCATCCACCCTATAATAAGCGTTATTATGTTCGATCAACACAGGCTGAAACATATCGGTACATACGTTTTCTGTTTACTTTTATCCACGAAAGGTATAGAATGTATTTGCATATAAGTTTATATGAAAAATCTTTTCAAAAATTAAGTTTACCAAAGCTCTCAGTGTTCGTAACACAAGCAAAAGTTTAAAATCAATACATGTTTTGAGTTGAGAAAATCAGATCACTAGTTTTAAAAGTAACAATTAAGTACTTGTGAGCTTCAAGAGTTTCTTCGTGAAATCCCAAAGTTTAGTTTTAGCTAAGCCTCTGGTTCGCTGCGTCCTACAGTCAGCAGTATATACATTTACATATAAGTATATATACAGGTAGATAAAATTGTCCGATTCCTGCATTTGATTTTAAAATTTAACACGTTTAAAACAGCTCAAGCAAAATTGAATACCCCGCAACGAATATGGCGAGAAGCATGATATCCCTTTGCAGTTACCTGTGCTATGATGTTGATACAGAGATTTCTTTTTCTAATATTAGTATACTGACATATTTATTTATTTTTATTGAAAGAACATTAAAATAGTTATGTATATAAGTATAATTTATCAATATATGTAATGTACCAACTTAGAATAATAAGTATATTATGAAACTTATAACTAATTCGTTACAAATTTGGCACTTGTTTTATATACTAAATAACGTTATAGAATTTCAGGATGGACTATTGAATAAATTTTACCAATTTGCTTACTTTAATTTTTTATATCTCTTGCCTTTATTTATAATATTAGATATATAGACAATAGAGTGTATTCAAGATAATTAATTGAGCGGTTTAGTTTTGATATTAGTTTCAACATGAGTTTAATTAATTTTTATTATTAATTCAAAGCTTAGCTTCTATTATCTTTGTGTTTGACACAGCTCTATAAACTTATATAATTATAATTGTTCATTAATGTATAAATTATTTATATTTGATACTCTTTGTAATTCCAATTCCATGTCTTATTCAGGCTGTTATCAGCATGCAATGATGACAATTTATGCACCTCCGGAGGATCCATCAGCAACTGGAAATATATAAGTTTGTCATTATCATCGGCGTTATGAATGTCCCCACAGCTGAGACGCAGGCGATAGGCTCACAGCCCGTAGGTAGCCCACCAGGCGTCCCGTGCAGCTTTTATATTAACCGAATTATAAATAATTGACTCACACACAGCCGCACAAACATCAATCAAAATAATCATTCACTCATTAGAGCTTAAATATTTCTTATTCATGTTGATACTATTTAACTAGGTTCCCACCCCCACTTAGACTTTTGTGTAAGGGATCTTTCACGAAGAAACTGAAGAAAGAGTGTCTACAGAAGCAAAAATTAGGCCTAGTAAATGTTTATTGAGAATTTCTATTTAGTATTGAGTGTAATAATATTTATCTATTATTGTTTATATTGATTACATTAAATTATTTATATAATACTTTGGAATTACACTGTACTCTCACTCCACATTCACTTTGATTTTTCGCTAGCGACCAAACGGCGACTAGGGTACAGCTGAAAATCAGTGTCTGTTTCATATATGGAACATCCAACACTGAGCTGTATACCTCTTGAGCTACTGCTTCACACTCTAGTTCGGTGATATAAATCGTTGTCTTTTGTAATTTTAATGTTTCTATACACCAACAAAGTATTTTATAACAACTTATAATGTAGTGATAGTAGTGGTTCAATAAAGCATTTATCTATCTATACATTTTCACCGGTTTCACTGGCAGAGGATGCCCTTTCGGTATTAAATCCGCCATTTGCTATTTTATAAGTAAAAAATATTTGTTTATTTATTTGATTAATTAACTGAATAAATAAATAAAGACCAAATATCAGTCACATAGTATGTACCTTCACAGTTGTATCAGGCCCATCGCTGAAGATCCCTTCAGACACAGCCGCGGGCGGCAGCTGCGGGTCCAGCTGCAGCGGCTCGTACTCGTCGGAGAGGCCGCTGTCCGGAGACTCTGGACCTTGGAGCTGATTCACGTAACCTTTGGGACCGACGCGACTCTTGCGCACGCAGTAATCACCCGTGAATGGATTCTGGTATGCGACTACTGTGCTGTGAATACGAAACAAATATTAATACTAGTTCAGTACAGTAGCAAACGCATTCGATCCGCAATTATGGAGTAAATAAAGTTGGTCATCGGATAGGTCGACTAATATTTTATTTATGTAGTGTAAAGTGCCTTTATGAGCTAGAAATCACAACAAAATAATGTCTTAAACATCTATCCAATGTTGTATTCGCAGACATTTAAATAAAATTCTACTTTACGATTTCAACTCATTAAAATGTCCATTTAAGGAACAGACACAATAACTGTACATTGACGGGTTATTCAGTACTCACCGAAGTTGTTCAGTGTTTTCCCCGGCCTTTCTATGAGAAAATAAAACCCTTGTGGGTTTTAGTAGTATTTCAATCTGCAAAAAATAAAAAATCATATCTAAAATGACTATCATTGTACTTTATTGTTATGTTATGATATCATCACCTCCGAAGCTTAAGAATCTATAGACATTGGTTAAGGCCTAAAATTTCTGATAACATTATGATTTCTGATTTTGATAATACATAATATGTGAGCTTATTAACTCCGATCATCGGCTAAAGCTTTTGCTCGGTGATGTGTATTAGCGTCAGCACAATGAGCCATTACACTCTATTGATCGATCTCAAATTATCTATCGCAAGTGTTTTATCGGAAACCACTTTTATCTTACTTTAGCATTGATCCATCGCTCTTTTATATTTGAATATTTCGGGAATTTTCAATGCTCATAATAAAAATTATGAAATTTTAATTAACATATCTAAAACTAGAATAGTTTCTTTATTCGTTACAAGGATTCAGAATTTCATTTATAAAACGATGTCGATAACGCTTTATCCTACACTAGACCTATTTTTTTTTAATGACACAAACTGTTTCATTTGGTCTATGTTGCTCGCTAATTGTGAAGTAAAATGTTAATCAGCAATTTTTATATTGTTTTTAGTTTTTCTCTATTTACTGCAATAAATAATGACTTAAAATATTGGAAAATACAAATGAAAGAAAATACCCGTTTTTACAAGACGGACGTTTGTACTTTTTTTTAAGCACAGTGAAATTGCACATAATGGCATATTGCACGGTGCTCGCTTTAGGGTTACTATGACAACTATCAATATGGAATGACAGAGAGCCCGACAAACTAGGATCTGTATTTTCTAGTTCGTTTAATTTATTTTCGACTCGGCTGCCACGCCCCATTGGCCTTTCTATCTTAATATATTTCCGTGATGGACACTATCAAGTGCGACAATTAGGAAATAAGCACTTTTGAAAATATGAGTAGGATAACGATGGGTGATGGCGCTCACATGTGTCAAAATGGAACATAGTCACATGGGACATATTATCACATTGACATAATCAACAGCATGTAAGGTTAAACAGATCTGTCAAACTTCTCCATTCGATTTTAAATCTTAATATTTGAAAGATAGAGTTAAAAATTAACTGGATAAATTTGACACATTGTGGTAAACTGACGCATTGGGCTAGCATGGAGGACCCATCCTCTTGAATCATCCTCAAGGAAGGCCTGAGCCCCTATATTATGGACGTAAAGGGGCTGATGATGTTGATTTATTCATTGTATAATAATAATAATAATAATAATAAATCTTTATTTCATTTTTAAAATTACAGACAATGGTGACTATTTTAAGAAATTACAAGGAAATTTATGTAACTTAGTAATATGAGCCACATCTCCCAAACTAGGGTCAACCTGTATTTTGGGAGTTGCGATTCCTCCAAAATCGTTTATTTATATATCCTTGAAACCATTTTTTTTTTTTATAGTGATCAAGCTTGTTTATTATTTACGTGTATTCATGCGTGTGTAAGTGTGTGTGTGTGTGTGTGTGTGTGTGTGGTGTGTGTTGAGTGTGTGTGTGGTGTGTGTGCAATTATGTGTACTTATGCGCGTTTTATATTTACTTTAAAAGACTTTCTGTTTCGTGATAATTTAAGGTTAGAAGCTTATTTTGTACTATTTGCTTTACTGTGTGTTTTAGTTTGCCATTTATATCATCTGTTTTGTTTATTTTATTGTACAGTTTTGCGCTAAGGGCAGTATATTGGTGTTTTGCCCATGATGTCCTGCATGTGTCCTGTGAGCAAACCACAGCTCCCCTTCGTCTATTTGTAGTGTCCGGCTTGTAAGGTAATGATTGGTGCTTTTGAAGGATTGTCCTAAGATTATAGAGCTGTCTTACTGTAAGCACTTGTGTTTCGGAGTACAATTTATCAGTCGAATATGTTCGTTTCCTAAAGGTCATAACTATAAGAATCGCCCGCTGAGCCCGTTCCAATTTTAGAAGATAGGTTTTGTTAGCACCACCCCAAACAGTTAAACAGTAACTAATAATGCTTTGTAGATAAAAAAAATCTTTGCTTTATGAAACTTTTTCGTTTGTTTATACTTTTGCTTGAGCGTGGAAATTTGATAAATATTTAATTGACGCGAGCAGCAGGCTCGTGGCAGTATTTTTAAAAAATATACCTATTAAGTTTATAACGGAAATAAAAACTTCGCTAGGATTGACTTAACTTTGTTGAACAAAATAAATCTGCTGAAGTGATTACAAATTTTATTGGAGATGAGAAACTTCCAAATATACTGAAACTAATTAACTCGAGAGTTTCTGATATTTGAACAGATGCGTGTGACGTTTGATGAGTGATCAATGGTTTTATGAAATCTTATCAAATGAAATAACGTCATAATATAAAAGTATCTAGAAACAAAATAATTATATTACATACTCACGTCATCATAAAAATGGCAATTTAAATGCTTATGTTTTATTATTAAAGATTTTGAGATTATTTATGTATTGTTATAAATAACAAATTATAAAATATTCTTTCATATTTTAGACTAGGCATATTTAAATTATAATACTTGTTGTTACATTACTAGCTGTTTTCTCGCTTCTTTGCCCTCGTAAATTACAGTCACTCGAGTATGATATAACTTTCCGTAGAAGAAACATTTTTTTTTTTAAATCAATCCAGTAGTATGCAAATAAAACAAGTATTCTCTAATTACCTGACCAGATCGAGTCATTGCAATCACTCGGTACAAACAGTAGCCGCACGTAAACAACGTCAGGAACAACTGAAAATTAAAAAAAAAAACTATTTATTATTTGTATACGCGAAACATCTGAACATTTTAATATAACGCGGACCGTCCGCGCTGACGTCTACGCGCGTAGCGAGCTGCCGGCGCATACTCGTTTCAGTGTCGTGCTGATCACTACCAAGTACAGACATGACCAATCCTGTGAATATTCAAAGATTGCTAGTACATTTTTCAACCAGCTGACACTGCTTGGAACAGAGTTAAAAGGGATGACGATACCGAGTCCTTTAACTACTTAGTAGATCGGATGCATTTACACACCTTTCCTGCCTTCATCGCCGTTTCACATGAGTGTACACGCTGACTGACCTGGTAAAGGCGAAAGCGCGCGAGATAGCTATCAGCGCCGCCGACGCTCGTCAGCGCTGAGCGGTCAGCGTAACCATAGAACGCTTCTACAGAGCCCATACATGTTGGTTTGTCAGCGTGATACTAAAACCAGCCTTAGTCTGCGTATTTACGTAGCAGGATACACGTTAAAAGTACTAACGCCGTAGTCACAGAATACTTTCTAATTCTAGATAATAAATGTTTGATCACCCATCCTATGACCAGCCTTCGCGGAAGTTGCTTAACTTTCGAAATCACAGACAGAACGCACTAACAACTGCACTATTTTGGTCCTCAATGAAGAATGACTTGATATACTTATTTTGAAGTACCGCAATAAACTATTAATAACGCGATCGCTGTGTCACCATCAATAAATCACAAAGCTGTTCTCCGTAGCGAAACAACAAACACTCGTGTGATTGCACGTAACGCTCTAAGCATCGCTACTGACAATACAGATATACTCACCAAAATAGCCAACAGTACGTAGTCTATATTCACAACCGTAGTCATTTCAATACCCACTTTATCATTTTCACCAAACACAACCACAAAAATTTGAAATTAGTATTATTCGTGTTGGAAAACTGATTATTTTTCGAAGAAGATAATGTGTTTGAGTTCATCACTACACATGTTACATCCTGATTGAATTTTAGACAAAGTAAACGTTTTTTATTGGTTAAATAAACTTTGGCGTGAGCTTGCTGGACCTATAACTGATTATTTCACAAGAGGGATGGAATATCTGCAGTGGTGAGAACATAGAGTAGGTAGCATACGATGGTAGTATAATGCCTACTTACCGAAATGTTATTGGAAGCAAACATCAAGAAATATCATTAGATTTGATATTTAGCTGACATCAAAAAGGAGGATCCCACAATATTTTCATCAAAAGTGAATCGAATTAAAAAGGTTTATCCCTAAGGAAGTCTTACATTTCATGTGAATTGTATCAGAAGGATTTTTTTATTTTTTTAACTTAAAAAAAAATAATAGTAAGTTTACACCTCATCTGTTACTAGAATCACTAAAATAAAATTAATGTGTTTAAAAAAAGTAACTTACATTTACAACTCCCTAACGTCTTTTCTGCCTACAAAACAGTTCTACTTCGTTTATATAATCATTGCATTTGGCCGCCACGCTGGCGCCAGTTGACGCGACTACTGAGTCCCGCATCCTGGCGACCTATTTTGTGTGTTGATGGAATTCTTACGTGAAAGTGAGTGTGTTGCATATTATACATGTTGCGATAATAGTAATAGTCGTTATAAAATTACCCGGACTCAAATAGTGATATTTCAAATTTCTTTTAAAGAGGACGCTAGTGTTCTATTAGTAAATATATGTTGTGAATCAAACCTCATTTAAATAAATAATAATATTCAAATTTTATTGACAATGTCATATGTTATTATTGTTTTTCTGATTCGATAAAAATGTCTTCATAGTTAAACACCTAAAGTGTTTTATTTGGTTAAAACGAGGCATAGTTTCTGCAAGAAATAAAGCGGAAGACCTGCAGGAACGTGAATACACCACATCTATATATATATATATTATTTTATAAGGATTTCCTTTGCGTTTCCAAATAGTTTTCTTTAAATTTAATTTCTTCTCAGTCATTTTTTTTTACTTTAAGTGGTTAGTTGGCTTAATACATCGTAAAACAATTCTCAGAACCTCTTATTAACATCTTTCCCCTTTCATCTTTCTTTTTGTTTGTTTTTGTTTCAAAAACTTTTCATGTCTTCTCCCGCTTGATTGCTCAGGTATGTGTTGGACCCAAGATCTAAACAAAATAACTTGGAATTCAACAAGCGAATGTGAAATTTAACATATCGGTATACAGTTCAAGTTTCAACAACAAATCGAAGAGGAAAACCTTGTCGCGGTTTACTCTGTTTTTGATAGTTTGGGTCATTTCAAGAGAAGTTTTAAGGATAGTCGCGGTGGACCTTTGAAAGGTTTTTGTTTGCAGAATTAACTTGTTACTTGACTTGTTTGAAGGTATTTCATTTGAGGAAAAATAAACACCGTATGTCATCTTTGTGAAACTAATATAGGTTTAACTTAAAACTGTCTTGAGATTTCTTAGAAATTGCAAATAAACTTTTTTCATAACATTACAATAATTTAGAAAAAAAAATGTTATTCTACAGTAAGGACATAGATTTTTTTTTTCTGATTTGAAACTCAGATTTTTTACTTATTGTTTTACTTTTGTCCTCCATGAATGGACTTAAGGCAAAAACCACCAGGCGGACCATGTTAGTGACTATACTAATATTGTAAAGAGATAAGATTTCATTGTTTATTGGTTTTCATCGAACAGGCTTAGAAACCACTGGACCAATTTTAAAAAATATTACACTGATGACATAGGCCACAAGGGTAAATATTTCATTTCGTGCAAATCGAGCGTTTCAGAGAACGCAAAAAATTCACGCAAACACGTTCTTTCATGGTGTATTTGAAAGCTGGTGAATTTTTTAATATAAAAATGCTGAAGGGACAGGAATCGGATTTTTACTTTACGAGATATTGGGTCTTAATATTTTTCAATAAATGCTAATGAGGTTAAACTGTAATGGTAATTAGAAAAAAATAATATATAAGCATACTATGAATATAAAATAGCCTTCTTAAATCATTATTTTTATTAAATAATTAAAATTATGTATAATTTTTAATTAACCTATTTATAATGCGCAATTATTTGAAAAAATAAAGAAACTACTTCTCATTTAAATCTTTTAATAAAACATTACTCAAAAATTGAATCTGAAACTGAGATTAATCTGAATGTTTCTAAGTCATCTTCTCATAAGAAAAAAATATAAATTCATAACACTATCGGAATCATAGTCCATATACCAATATTTGAATGACCGGGTCTGTTACTCAAATTCCGTCAGTTAATTTAAATACTATCAAGTAGAGTCTCGCGCTTTAAGTACCTGGGCCACTGAGTCACTGAAGGCCTGTCAGATGATTAAGACATAGAAAGGGAGCGCAGGGCGTTGGCTGTCAAGTGTAACATGCTGGCGCGTAGATTTGCGCGATGTGATGAAGAAATCAAAGTTTAAAGCATACTGCCAGTCGTTTTACTCATGCAATCTATGGGTCAAGTACAAGCGAAAGTCATACAATGCCTTGTGCGTTCAGTGTAATAATAGGTTCAGGGTGCTGTTGAGGCATCCGCGATTCTGTAGTACATCACGCATGTTTGTGGACGCTAGAGTTAATGATTTTTACGCAATCGTCATATGAGATGTGGTCATATTAGCGCAGACCAAAAACAAAACAAATTGTACTGTTCAGAAGACGATCTAATTTATTGAGAAAGGTTTGATTAAAAATTTATCTGAATAATATTTGTTTAAATATTTAAAAAATGTAATAATAAAAAGTTAAAATCTGAAATTAAATTAAATTTTAATATTTCCCGCGAAAACGCCACTTTTACCATGGCATTGCTATAACGTCATTACATTCTTGTTCTATGTATGAATAAGCTTGAATTCGCTAAGTTTTGATATGAGTAAGAAAGGCGTGACGTTACGCGCTGTTTGCGGTCACGTGACAGCGACATAAAATATTAGTATTTTCATAATTAATTTGATCAATATTATAAATAAAATAAGCATAAAAGTGTGATTATCAATAATGGAATATTAAACACTAACAGGAAATATCATAATATAAATTTATTTTCGTTTTCTGTATTGATAAGTCGCTAGAAATCAGCTAGTTGATAATATTAAGCTGACTCACGTGTCACTTTATTTGTATATGCGAGTTTGTTTTATAAAATATAGTTAGAGGTGGCGTTGAGGTTCCACTAAATAAAACGACATAATAGATTGTTTCTATCCTTCTAAAGCTTAAGGACAGTTTGTCTATTCCACGTATTCTGTGTTTCCATCACGAACAAAGTTACCGATATAACTGAGAGATTTAAATGCCGTGGTGTAGTTTAACGTCTTTGGTAATAACAAGCACAAACTGTTGTAGTATGTGAATATTAAGAATCAAACGTGATTTGGATAGAATGCACTAATATGCAAATAATTCACGTTCTATAAATGTGCTTCTTTAGCAGTTACATATCACGTACCCTAATATCCCCTCTTAGATTTAAGTAGTATATAAGACGAATATTGTTTAGTTAATTAGAGAATCTACAACCTGAACCATAGTATCATTTCTCCCGACCACGCTGACGCTATTTCATGGCGACCGTGACCACGATGGTCCGAGTCTACAAAGTAGTGGTGTGTGTTGTGACATGGGACAGAGGTCAAGCTGTAAGTTATTTTCCTACATACTTATAATGGGATAGACAGCAAATGATTATTACTCCGAGATATAAAGAGATATGAAGAAGATGCAAGAAATTTTTAAAAGAAGACATTGAAGAAACTGAAATGGTTGCAATATAAAAAGTAATTAAATGATAACGAAGAAGAAATGGCGGATAACCGAAGAAAAAAATATGTAAGAAGAATCTGATACTCAAGACGGTAACACGCCAAAATGTGTAGCTTGGATATAGAAGAAGGAAAATAGGAAGTGTTTATGGTGTCTGAAGAGCAATTGATTATTTTCGTATATTATATTATACCTCAATGGTAAAAATGTAAGTATTTCGTGTCGTAAATTTAATAATTGTTATAAAAATGCTACGTAATGTGTAAGTTTGCAGAAGTGTAAATTTTTAAAAATGGAGCAGTTTGACTTGCTTACGGCTGTAGAATTATTACCTATAATTTCGGGACAAGAAGAAGTTACACTATCTTTGATAGATAATATTGAGTACTATAGTAGCGTTATTGATGAAAATTCACAACAATTATTGATAAATTTTGTCCTGAAAACTAGATTGTCATCAGTAGAAAAGTTTTATTTAAAGTCGAATTATGATTACGTTGATAGTTTGATTACGGACATGAAAAGATGTCTTCTGCCGAAAAAATGTCCATCCAATATTCAAATAAAATTAATTAATTCTAGGCAAGGAAGTAGGTCTATAAAAGCGTATGGTTCAGAGATAGATAAATTATTATACGAGTTAACGTTAGCACAGTCGGAAAATGATAAAACGAAATATAAAATACTGCATCCTATAAATGAAAAGTTAGCTATTAGATGTTTTTCAGCCGGACTGAATAATAGTCGTATTAGTTTAATATTGATTGCTAGAAATTTTAAATATTTAAAAGATGCTATACAAGCAGCGTTAGATGAGAATTGTATTTTATATAGTAGCCAAAATAATTGGTATAATTATAATAATGTGTTTAAATTGAGTAATACTTCTCAAGATATAAAGAATAATAAAGTTATGAATCATTTAAATGATTCGAGAAAGCTAACTAGGTCAGATTTAGATTTTAGAGTATCACATGATAAGGAAACTCGCCATGTAGCTGAAGAGAGCAGCTCTTCATGCAAGTCTTTTACAGACTTAGATAATTTGATCAAGCGTGATAGAAGTTTAGACT